GTAGATATTTGTAAAATTCCATTGATGAAGATGCTTTTAGATTTTATTTCTCATATACAATCAACTTGAAGCAATCATGCATGAGGTCTAGTTGGTGACACAAAACGATCAACGATAAACTATACATAAAAAGTTGACTATACAATTTTGAGTTTTTGAAATTAAAAAATATTAAAATGGTATACTTCGTATTACTAATTAAATCTATTATTAAATGCTTTAAAGATTATGGCTTAATAACTTTCGGTTTGTGTGCAGTGAACATGCGTAGTTTTCTGTATGTGTGATGTACCAAAACGCGGATTGATTACGACAGTTTTGTAGGTTCTTATTTTGAAACATGTGGTTAATACAATGTTTAAAAAAAAACATGTGGTTAATACATTCGTGGCTCTCGTTGAGAACTAGACTTAAACTTTTTTTAGAAAAGTTTGAATAAAAATTCAAATTGAATTTTGATATCACGGAAATCTCTACTATATCACATTCGTCCAAATCATGACGTGACGTACGAGGCATGGTTATACTAAAGCTAATGTAGTTAGGATAATATCCAATTTATAGTTTTATACTACTTGTGGGGGTTTTTTAAATATAATTTTTGACATACATAGCTAAAATGTATCAACCATAAAAATAAAATAAAAAAAAATTTTATAGCATCAAAATAATTAATAGGAAATTAAAGTAAGAAATAATTTGATAAATGAACTTTTCTACCAATTGGGCTTATTAAATTAAAAAATTACTTTGAAATTGATTCTGTTTTTGTTTGATATATTTCAAGCTTATTTTTGTACATTCAATGATATTACAAAATGTTTTAATCTAAGATTATCAACTTCATTATGTTTTAGAGGGAGCATTTTTATAGATAGGATCATATGATAATTCGGTCTTTTAGGATAAATGTGTTGCCATTTTGAAAATATGTAAAATAATCTAGACCTTACACGTGTCAATTCTGGAAGAATCTACTCGACTCTCCTCGTTTTATATCTGACTTCCCAAAGCTACGAAGACACCTTCTTCCAAGTTCTAAATAAAATTCACAAAAAGTAAATTATAAAAAAAAAGAAAATATTTTTTTAATTTTTAATAAACTGTTCATTCGAAACTTTTCTTTAAATACACT